ATGTGGACACCCCCACTGGGGCCTTCGGTGGAGCTCCCTATGGGGCTACGAAACGCTGCCCTGGGTGGGGGAACCGCATGCGAACACCCCCACTGGGGCCCTTCGGTGGAGCTCCCTATGGGGCCACGAAACGCTGCCCTGGGTGGGGGAACCGCATGCGAACACCCCCACTGGGGCCTTCGGTGGAGCTCCCTATGGGGCTACGAAACGCTGCCCTGGGTGGGGGAACCGCATGCAAACACCCCCACTGGGGCCTTCGGTGGAGCTCCCTATGGGGCCACGAAACGCTGCCCTGGGTGGGGGAACCGCATGTGGACACCCCCACTGGGGCCTTCGGTGGAGCTCCCTATGGGGCCACGAAACGCTGCCCTGGGGGGGGGAACCGCATGTGGACACCCCCACTGGGGCCTTCGGTGGAGCTCCCTATGGGGCTACGAAACGCTGCCCTGGGTGGGGGAACCGCATGTGGACACCCCCACTGTGGCCTTCGGTGGAGCTCCCTATGGGGCCACGAAACGCTGCCCTGGGTGGGGGAACCGCATGTGGACACCCCCACTGGGGCCTTCGGTGGAGTTCCCTATGGGGCTACGAAACGCGTGAGAGGTGTGCCGAGAGCAGAAGCAAGGAGGGGGAGGAGGGAGGAGGGTGAGGAGGAGGAGGAGAGGAGAGGAACGCGGGGCACCGTCTCTTCAAAACGAGGACCCAACACCACAGGATGGTTGGGAACAAAAGAATTAGCCTGGCGAAGGACCCAACCATATGCAACTGTGAATACCGCAAGTGTGAATATCGTTTTCGGCGGCGCTACCTCTGGGTAGTGGAGACGCATGCGAACACCCCCACTGGGGCCTTCGGTGGAGCTCCCTCTGGGGCTACGAAACGCTGCCCTGGGTGGGGGAACCGCATGTGGACACCCCCACTGGGGCCTTCGGTGGAGCTCCCTATGGGGCTACGAAACGCTGCCCTGGGTGTGGGAACCGCATGTGGACACCCCCACTGGGGCCTTCGGTGGAGCTCCCTATGGGGCCACGAAACGCTGCCCTGGGTGGGGGAACCGCATGTGGACACCCCCACTGGGGCCTTCGGTGGAGCTCCCTATGGGGATACGAAACGCTGCCCTGGGTGGGGGAACCGCATGTGGACACCCCCACTGGGGCCTTCGGTAGAGCTCCCTATGGGGCCACGAAACGCTGTGCTGCCGCTGGTGGGGGAACCGCATGTGGACACCCCACTGTGGCCTTCGGTGTAGCTCCCTATGGGGCCACGAAACGCTGGCCCTGGGTGGGGAACCGCATTGGGCACCCCGCAACTGGGGCCTTCGGTGGAGCTCCCTATGGGGCCACGAACGCTGCCTGGGTGGGGAACCGCTGTGGACACCCACTGGGGCCTTCGGTGGGCTCCCTATGGGGCTACGAAACGCTGCCCTGGGTGGGGGAACCGCATGCGAACACCCCCACTGGGGCCTTCGGTGGAGCTCCCTATGGGGCCAGGAAACGCTGCCCTGGGTGGGGGAACCGCATGCGAACACCCCCACTGGGGCCTTCGGTGGAGCTCCCTATGGGGCTACGAAACGCTGCCCTGGGTGTGGGGGAACCGCATGCGGGCAGCCCCACTGGGGCCTTCGGTGGAGCTCCCTATGGGGCTACGAAACGCTGCCCTGGGTGGGGGAACCGCATGTGGACACCCCCACTGGGGCTGTCGGTGGATCCCCCATGGGGCCCGAACGCTGCCCTGGGTGGGGGAACCGCATGTGACACCCCCACTGGGGCCTTCGGTGGAGCCCCCTATGGGGCCACGCGACGCTGCCCTGGGGGGGAACCGCAATGTGACACCCCCCACTGGGCCTTCGGTGGAGCTCCCTATGGGGCCGACGAAACGCTGCCCTGGGTGGGGGACCGCATGTGGGACACCCCCACTGGGGCTGCGTCGGTGGAGCTCCCTATGGGGCTAACGAACTCTGGCCCCTGGGTGGACCATAAGCAATTGTGGACACCCCCACTGGGGCCTTCGGTGAGCTCCCCTATGGGCCACGAACGCTGCCCTGGGTGGGGAACGCATGTGGACAACCCCCACTGGGCCTTCGGTGGAGCTCCTATGGGCCGACGAAAACGCTGCCCTGGGTGGGGGAACCGCATGTGGACACCCCAAACTGGGGCCTTCGGTGGAGCTCCTAGGGGCCACGAAACGCTGCCCTGGGTGGGGGAACCGCATGCGAACACCCCCACTGGGGCCTTCGGTGGAGCTCCCTATGGGGCAACGAAACGCTGCACTGGGTGGGGGAACCGCATGCGAACACCCCCACTGGGGCCTTCGGTGGAGCTCCCTATGGGGCTACGAAACGCGTGAGAGGTGTGCCGAGAGCAGAGGCAAGGAGGGGGAGGAGGGAGGAGGGGGAAGAGGAGGAGAGGAGAGGAGAGGACGCGGGCACCGTCTCTTCAAAACGAGGACCCAACACCACAGGATGGTTGGGAAAAAATATCCTAAATGGGGCCCTTCAGGGCCCCTGCCGCCTCCCAAGAGGGCCCCAAAGAGCCCCTTTCAGGGCCCTTATTTCTTCACCCCCCATCCAGGCCGCCTCCCATTACCACCCGCCCGAGTCCTAGACCTTCGACTTGGTTCCGGGCAAAGGGGGCCCTTCGCAGTGGGGTCGCAAAAAGACATGCTATAGGTCACCCTGTGGCTCATGGCGCGTGGCCGCTCTCTCGGACCAACGATGCCAAACGCAACGCGTTTTGTCCGCATATCTGGCTCGATCCAGTACGGACGATTGCACGAACTGTTGGAACTGTTGCGCGCATTTTTGAGATCCCCGTTGCAAAGGATTGGCGGCGAGCGCGGAGAGAAAATGAGAAGGAGAAGACCTTCTTAGAAGGCGGCGGGACTTCTCTGAAGCCCTCGCGCCTTCTGAGAAGTGTTCTGCAACTTCGGGGAAGGCTTAGGAAACGCTTCAGAAGGCCAGGTGACTTCTGAGCCTCCTGAGAAGGCCCGCCCCTTCTCACTTCCCCCCCCTCGCTCGTCACCGAAAGGACCCATCCGCCCGAATCTGACCGACGCCGTGATTCTTTCATAGTGCGGACCCCCAGCGGTCTGGACCAGTTCCCCGGGACCTGCATCTCCTCCTGAGCCGTTCTCTGACGGCCCCGGGACGGGCTCCCGGAGCCCGAATTTCGCCCAGAACTCCCCGTCGTGCTTTTTTTCACGATGCTGACCCCTGGACAGCTAGACCACTTCTCTAGGACCGCCTTTTCAGCCTGGGTGGCTCCTTGATGCCCCCGGGGCCCGGCAGAGGACGGATGCCGAACATGGGCAAACGCCGCCCGCCGTGCCTTTTCACGATGCTCGGACACGAAGCAGCTACAAACGCACAAACGTTCGGAGCGCTGCGCGGATTTCTGCGATCGGCGCTGGGCCCCCCTCCAGGGTCGGCGCTGGAGGCGCCGCCGGGGCCGGTCCAACAAAAATCGCGCGGAGCTCTGACAGTTCTGGCTTATGCGAATGTTCTTCTTCCAGTGACTTCCCGAGACCCCCGACGCCATGATTTTTCATAACGTCGACCCCACAGGTTTTTCGACCCCTTCCCCAAGGCCGGTGTTTCATTCTGAGTCGTCCTTGGACGGTCCCGAGGCCCGGTGAGGGCCCCTACAGTTAGGTCGGGCATGTCCCCCTACAGGCGGATTCTGGGCGAAGAATTAGAAATAGTCAAAACATGTTCCAAGCATGCTCAAACATACCAACACAAATTGTCCCCATACTATTTTTTGACTATCTCTAAATCTTCCCCTGTAGAAGGACACGCCCGGCTTAACCCTACAGTGCGGGCGCGGCCGCAAGAAACCCTCGCAAGACACCCAACCCTGAGAACCCGTGCGCGAGGCGCACCTGAGGGGAAACACGGAGCACCCTGAACGCAGCAGCTCCTTCAACGGCTGCGGGAAGTCACCGCGCAGCGCGAGGAGCGAAGAAGCCCAGGATACCCTGACGAAAAGCATATGGTTTCTTGATGCGCGCCCCCACTGTACAGGCAAATCCGCTCATAATCGGTCCCTGGACCCCTCCTGGGGTCCAGCTGGTGCAGTTTTTCACCCCCGATTCGTTTTTGGCGGCAATGGGGCCTGAAAGCGGCCCCCAGAGGCTGTGAAAGGCAACGAAAACTGAACGAGCCCGAACTGCGGACCTGGCCCCCCCGCCCTGCTCGCCGGGACAGTTTCTTGAGGCGCGCCCCCACTGCACAGGGAGGCCGACGGTCGCGAGAAGCCGTCCACCGCTCTGCCTTCGCAGCGCGACGGGGGCCCCGCGGCGCGCGACGAGGAGGCCCGCGGTGGGTCGGCGGGTCGACCGCCCCGCCCCGCGCTCGGGGGGGGGGGGAGCGTAGGAGAGCCCAGGGTCGGATCGACAAGTAGGGATGAGATGTTGAGGAGTAGGAGGAGGAGAGGAGAGAGAGGAGAGGAAGGGGGAGGAGGAGGAGGAGTAGGAGGAGGAGGGAGGATGGAGGAGGGGGGGTGGAGGAGGACACGTCGGATCGGCGATCAGGGAGGATCGGATCGGCAAAAAAAAAAAATAAACAAAAAGAAAAATGAAAAAATAAAAAAAAAACAGAAAAAAAACAAGCGCGGGCATAAAAAGCCCCCGAAAAAAAAAAAAAACGCTTCTGCAGAAGTCGCAGCGGCGGAACTGGGCAGGCCAGCAGGCCTCCCCTGAGAGCCTGGCGCTGCAGCTTTGTCGCAGCGGGCGTCTTCTCCCAGCTTCGGGCCCCAGGACCCTCACAGATGATTGATGCGGCTCGACAACTGCAGCAGAAAGATTGGGTCGGGGGCTCTCCTGCGGTGATGTTTCGCGCGATGTTGCATCTCTTTTTGCAGCGTCGGATCACAGGGTCCAGTGGGACATCGGAATCCGACATGGGAATCCCACAAGGCGAACCGGATCGGGATCGGAAGCCGTCGGGGTCGGATCGCATCGACTCGGGGGAGCCGAAGCGAACCCTGGCGGGGGGGGGGCGCCTCGCGGCGCACGAGGGCCTGGCCGTTCTCGTCCAGGCTGTTCCACAGCCGCTCCAGGCTCTTCTCCTCGGCGCGCACGGCCGCCGCCGCTGGAGGCCGCCCCACGGCTGGAGCCTCTCCTCTCGCGCCGGCGCGAGCGTGGGCTTCCCAGACGTGCTCGCGCCGCGAGAAGGACTCACGTCGGGACGGCTTGAGCCTGGGTGTTGTTAGACTCTGGCAGGTTTGCTTGCATGGCGTTCGCCCCCCCCCCCCCCTCCTCTCCCTCTCCCCCTCGCCCCTCGTCACATGTATACTGGCGTGCTGCTGGCTGCCGGTGCCTCTCGACTTGCGTGCTTGCCGCACGTGCGGAGCGTTTGCGGCTTGCTTCACGTTCAGCCCCCCCCCTCCCCGTCCATGCAAGTAACATTGCCGGAGGCTGAAGAAACACGCTCAATTTTGGGGCCAAATTCCCGCCTCCGGGGGCCCGCACCGTCCAGAAAGAAGGCTCGGGATGATGAACACCCGGCCGTGGGGCAAGGGGTCGGGACTTCCGTGGGCCTATACACACGGACAAAGAATCCAGGCATCTGGTCTGGCCAGGTTCCCATCCAAAGACCGGATGCTGTGGCTCTTGTCCACGGAGGGGTCCCTGAAGGTCTCGTCCCCTTCCTTATAGGACCGTCTCCCCGTCCTGCATCCCTTGGTTGGCTGTCCCGGGGCCCGGCGAGGGCCCCCCGGGCGGCCGAGCACCACGACGAGCCTCCGCCTTGAATGCTTCAGCTCCTTATAGGAGGCCTGGGCAGAGGCCCCCCAGGGGCCGAACACTGCGAAAAACCTCCGCATCGAATTTTCCAAGACTCGGCGGTGGACAAACCTCCCTTTAGTAGACCTCCCCTTAGTGAAAACGGCCTGGGACCGCAACCGACGGACCTGGGCCCGCAAAAACGACGGCCGCGACGCCCCCTCGCGAACCGACAAACACGGCCAATTCCCTGACCGACGCGTCAGGGTAGGAGGCCTGTCCACCCCCGAAACACGTTGGAGGCCTGGGTATACAGTCCTTTTCGTTGGGGAGGGGCTCCGCGTTCCTTAAGTGTTTCGCAGCTTGCCTCAGGTTTTCCTTATGCTTTCGATCGGAAATCGAAGTTTACCGTATGGAAAAAAAGGCGCCTCGTTCCTTACTTCGGGTTCCTGAGGTCAGCGCCCCGACTGTACACCTTCAGAGTCGCCCCGCTTCGCGCCTCGCGCCTCGCGCGTGGGCGCAACGCGTGGCTCTCGCGCCTCGCGCCCTTTCGCCTCGCGGCGGCCCCCTGTGGGCCCCGGCCGCGGGGCGGCGCGGCGCGAGGCGGCGCGCTCGCTTCCTCGGGCCCCCCCGTGGGGTGGCGACCCCTGGACTCCGGACGCGGCGACCTCTCTCGACCCCCAGACATGCAGCATCCTGCTCCTCCTCCTCCTCCTCCTCCTCCCTCCCGGCCCTTCCTCCTCCTCCTCCTCCTTCTCCTCCTCCTCCTACTTTCCTTCTCCTCCTCCTCCTCCTCTTCTCCTCCTCCTCCTCCTCCTCCTCCTCCTCCTCCTCCTCTCTGGGTGGCGGCCTGGGCTGCCGACGCTACGACCCCCGCCCTCTGCGAACCCCCAGACACGCAGCATCCCTCCTGGACACCCCCTCGCGCTGCGACAAACATCACGACGGGATTTTTTTCGCTATCTTCGGCCTCCAAGGGCCCTCGCCAGGTCTCGGGAACGTAACAAAAATGACTCTCGGGACGGAAAACGGGCCCCTGGGAAGGGTACCAGACTTCTGAGGGTCACGCCGTGAAAAAATCATGACGTCGGGGGTCTGGGGTAAGGACGGAGGATTGTCTCAATTGTTGGCCTCTGGGCGCTCTTGCCGGGCCCCAGCGCCGTCAAAGAACGGCCCGGGATGAAACGCTGGCCCCAGGAAAGGGTGGTCCTGACCCTTTCCCGAGGGTCGGCTTTGCATCTGAAATTGTTTCGTTGACGGTCCCGCAGGGCCTGGCGAGGGCCCCTAGGGAGGCCGGAAACGGCCAAAAATCTTCTGTCGTGATTCATGCTACGACGCGGGCAAGTCTGGGGACATCGCACGTCCATGAGAGCCCAGGATCGAATCAATGAGTCGGATCGGCGATCGGCATGCATCGAACTGGCGGAAAGCGGCAGGCGAATTGGCAGGCCTCCAGTGAGAGATCGGAGGCCAGATCGGAATCCGAAGTCGAATTTAGGGAAATCAGAAGGTACGGATGCCGCTGCTCCCCGGACCTCTCCCAGGGCGTGTTCTGCCCAGGACTCTCGAGGCGAATCCAACGGCGGCGACGAGAACCTCCCAGGAGGGCGAGAAGCAGGGGACAACGGGCGCAGGCCGAGAGAAGCCGACGCGGAGAAGATCGCATCGAAGCTGGAAGCCGCCGAGGTCGAATCGAAACCGAGGCGGGGGTTGTGCTGCTCCCGTCGTGCTTCAAGACCACATCCCACAAAGAGCATCGAGCACCCGGACAGGTCTCGACAGAGCGTCGAAGCAGTGTCGAAGCAGTGTCGGACGAGTGTCTCCCAGGGCCCAGCACGTGACAACCCTCGGGTTTCGGGACCTGTTTGACCAGCCTGGAGCAGATCCCTATCCCTATGCTGGGCATCTCCTCATCACGATGCCAATATTAGGGATTCCCTTATTTTGTTGAGGGCGCACCCCTAAGATTGTCATCGCTTTTTGGCGTGTCAATCTTAGGGAGAGGGATAAGTTCGAGGCTGGTAACACCTGTTTGGTGCTCGAAATTCTTTCTGGCGGTCAAGGTGACAAGTAGGTTGGAGCATCCTAAGGCGGGGGGAGCGTCGACGTGCCCAGACCCCCGACGTCGTGTTTTTTCTTGTTTGCTCACGGCGTGAGCCTCCGAAGTCTGGTCCCCTTCCCGGGGGACCGGTGTTTTTTCGTCCTGAGTCGTTCTCAGAGATCCAAAAAGCATGGACAACAGATCAGGGCGGAGGTTTTTCGCAAGGTTCGGCCCCTGGGGGCCCTCGCCGGGCCTCGGGACCGTCCAAAAACGACTTGGGATGAAAAGCCGGTGCTGGGGAATGGGTCGGACTTTCTGGGGACCCCGCATTGAGAAAATCACGACATCGGATCTCAGGGTTCCTTGACGCTCCCGAGGTCCGGCGAGGGCCCCCAGAGGCCGAAACTTAGCGACAAGCCTTCCCGTCGTGACGTTTTTACAGCGCGCCGCTGACGAGCAGGCTCCAAGGGCAAACAAGTTGCCTGGGACCGAAGGCCAGCCAGGGCAGAACATGTACAGATCGGGCCAACCTGACAACCTCTTGCAAGGCGGCAAGCCTCTACACAGCCGCTGCAAAATGACGAGGCGTGCCCTGGTGAGCCTTCCCGTCGTGACTGTTGCTCGCAGCGCGAGGGGGTCTGTCTGGGCACCTCAGGGCCCCTGCGCTCCAGAGGTGGCCCGGTGGCGCGGGGGCCGTGGCCAGGAAGGCACACGCGCACCGAGGCTGGAGCCAGGCGCCAGAGCCAAACGTCTGCACCGACCGCGGCCGGGCCCAGCAGCGAGCGTCCTCACCGCGCTCGGGGGCAGCCGTGGGGCGCAGGGGTGCCGAACTGGGCACAGCAGGCGACTGGGGAGAGGAAGCGCGCGGCAGGGGAGAGCAGCACGTCCAGAGGAAGCTCGCGGCAGGGGAGAGGCGACTTGGGAGAGGAAGCGCGCGGCAGGGGAGAGGAGCACGTCCCGAGAGCGGAGTTCTGCAACGCGTGTGCCGGACCGCGTGCACAGGCCGGCCCGGCGAGGCTGGCCGTGGCCGCCTCAGGGCGCCCCCAGAGGGCGCCTCAGGCTTCCAAAATCCTGACGAACGGGCAACACACGCACACACACACACACACGCACACGCACACACGCACGCACGCAAGCACGCGCACACGCACACACAACACACACACACACACGCATACACACACGCATACATACACACGCACACGCACACACACACACGCACACGCACACACACACACAAACGCACACGCACACGCACACGCAATCGCAAATGTACACACACGCACACACACAAACACACACGCACTCACGCGCACACGCACAAACAAACACACACGCACACAAACGCACGCACACACACACACACGCACGAACGCAGGCACGCACACACACACACACGCACGCACGCACACACACTCACGCACGCACGCACACACACACACACACGCACGCGCGCGCACGCACACGCGCACACACACACACACGCACGCACCCGAACACACGCACGTACGCTTACACACACACACACGCACACCCGCACGCACGCACGCACGCATGCACACACACACACATGCACGTGCACACACACACACCAACACGCCGCACACGCAACACCACACACGACGCACGCACGTACAACGGCAACACACACACACAACGCACGCACGCACACACACACACACACGCACACCACACGACACACGCACGCGCGCGGACACACACACTAAACACACACACACACACCACACTCACACGCACGCACGCACGCACGCACGCACGCGCCGCGCAACACACACACACACACACACATGCACTGCACGCACGCAACGCACGCACACGCACACGTGACACACTCACACAGGCAACACAAGACACGAACCCGTGCACACACACACCACCTCCCCCCCCACACACACACACAACACACACACACACACACACACACACCACACACACACACACACACAGCACACACACACATACACACACACGCACGCACGCAACACGCACGCGCGCGCGGCAAAACACACACAAAAGCCGCACACACACACACGCACGCACGCACGCACGCACGGCAGCGACGCCACGCACACGCACACGCACACGCACATACGAACACGTGCCACACACACACACACACTCCCCCCCCCCCCCACCCACACCACACACACACACACACAACACACAACATACACACTCGCACACGCACTCGCACACACACACACACACACACACACACACACGCACCACACACACAAACACACGCACACACACACACACTCGCGCACACACGCAAACACACACACACACGAACGCACGCACACACAAGCACCCACACACGCACAGCACACACACACACACACGCACTCACGCGCACACACACACATACGTACGCACGCACACACACAAGCACACAGACACACACGCACGCACACGCACACACATACGCACGGACGCACACACACACAACACACACACGCACACACACACAAACGAACTCACGAAACCACGCACACTCACACACACACACACGCACACACAGACACACACACACACACACGCACAAACACAAACACACACACGCACACGCACAACACACACGCACACACGCACACACATGCACATGTACACACAAACACACACACACACACACGCACGCACGCACACAACACACACACACAACACACACATGCACACACACAAACACACACACAAACACCCACACACACACACGCACGCGCACGCGCACACGCACGCACGCACACACGCACACACGCATACACACACACGCACACACGCACGCACAAACAAACAGACAAACAGACAAACAGACAAACACACAATACACACAATACACACAAACACGCACGAAGAACACACGCACAAACACATCAACACATCAACACACAAACACAAGCAGACACACAGACACACAGACAGACACACACACACACGCACGCAAACGCAAACAGACAGGCAGGCAGACTGACAGACAGACAGAGGCACACACACAGACACACAGACACAGACACAGACACAGACACAGACACAGACACAGACACAGACACACACACAGACAACACACACCCATACCCACAGCAAAGTCGGAGAGAGGAGGGCTGGCTGTGGGTATGGGTGCGGGCCGTCGGATCCCGAGGGAGGCTCCGCCCCGAGCGGGGACACCCGCCCGACAACACACACCCATAGCTCCCCCTCCGATCCCCCTATGGGTATGGGGTCTGGGTGTGTGTGTGTGTGTGTGCGCGTTGCTCTTACGGCAAGCTCTGCCCTCGCTCCTCGGCCCCACTGCGAGGGGCTTCTGCCCTGCGCGTCGCGGCGGCCGCCCCGGCGGCACGCCGCGCCTCTCCGCTGCGCGGGGCCCGAGGCTCGGCGGCGGCGCGGGGCGGCGGCGCTGGGAAGCTCTCGGGCGGGGGATCGCTGTGGCGCGTCGCGCCGGAGCGCGGCGGGCCGGAGCTGGCGGAGCGCGGCGGGCTGGGCCGGAGTGCCCCACCGCAGGCCCTCGCTGCCGCACTCCCCTCCGGCGCGCCGCGGGCCCGCGGCTGCCGAGCGCCGGGCCATCTGCACCGGCCGGCCCATCATCGACTTCAGCATGCGCTCCACGTTCTCCCAGAGCCACGACCAGGCCACCTCGTGGTTGCCGTTCCAGTCCTGGGGGGCCCGTCCGCCGATATATCTAGTTTATATATATATATATATATCTATCTATATATCTATCTATCTATCTATCTATCTATCTATATCTATCTATCTATCTATCTATCTATCTATCTATCTATCTATCTATCTATCTATCTCTATGTGTATATATATATATATATATAAATGACTCTATCGATTTATCTTGAGTTGCGTAATGCCAGCGGCCAGTTTCAATTCCGAACTCCGGAGGCCCCTTACTGCTTTTTGGGCCCCGGGACAAGATCAATGGCAGTGGCGCGGAATGGAAGCTCCCCGCTGCAGTGTCATGTAGAAACGCCTTTGGCCGCCACGACAGGAAGCGGCTTCTAGCGATAAGGAAATGCCGTTATCATTATAGCGATACATCGTGGATGATGGTCAGAATGCTGCTGTGGGCACGGATACAAGCGGGTATGATGATGACGGTGGTAATGACGATTATGATGCTGATGATGGTTACGATGACGATCCTGAGGGTCATGCTTAGAATACATGGTAAACATATTCACGATGCGCATGATGCTGCTGCTGGTGATTATGATGATGCTGATAAGGATGATGATGATGCTGAGGATGCTGCTGCTGCTGCTGCTGCTGCTGCTGATGATGATGATGATGATGTCGTTGATGATGGCGATGACGGTGATGATGATGATGACCATGATGACGATGCTGATGATGATGATGATGATGATGATGATGATGATGATGCTGATGATGATGATGATGATGATGATGATGATGACCTGCAGACCTGGCCTACGACGTCACAACGAGGGCCCCCCAAACTGTCCCAGCAGAGCCCCAAGATGACCATAACAAGGGCTCAGAAGGCTTCTGGTGGGCCCCAAGGCAGCCCAAGAGGGATCCAAGACGGCCTCGCACGGCCCTAAGATTGTGCAAGGGCCCCCAAAGCGTCGGCTCCACGAGAGCCAAGAAAGGCCCAGATAGCCACAGGACCGCCAAGATAATTGCGCCAAGAGTCCACAAGAGGGCCTTCCTCCTTCTCATCCTCTTCCTCCTCCTTGTCCCCCCCCCTCCTCCCCGTTTCCCTCCCTCTCCTGGAGGCGTGCCTTGCCCCGAACCAAGCGTAAATGTTTTGTCGAACGTCTCGCGATCGCGAACTCACCCAGAGGAACGCCTACTGCACGCTGTGCGGCGGCGGTTGCGAACGTAGCTTCATGGTCATCCTTCCTGGTCCTCGCCCCGATGATCCCTGATCCCTGAAGGCATGAGCATCCCGCGGATGCTGCCCTCCCGCCCCTGGGGCCGGTCGTGGGGGTTGCTCCAGCGAAGAGCCAGGCGGCTCCTGGAGCGGTCGCTCCAGGAGTCCTCCCGCTCCAGCTCCCGCCTCCGTCTCCTCCGTCTCCTCCCGAGGAATGAGACGAGGAAAAACAGGAGGACGAGGAGGAGGAGCAGGAGGAGGAGGAGGAGGAGGAGGAGGAGACGGAGAAGGGAGGAGGAGGCAGGAGGAGGAGGAGGAGGAGCAGGAGAAAGAGAAGGGGCGAGTTTTACTCTCCGCCGGGAGAAGCAGTGGGGGGGGGAGGCAGAACGAAAGACTCTCTTGGCTCCCAAATCGCGTCGCAATTCGGGGAGCAGGAGAATATGACGGAAGTACGTTACGGATTCCCCTCTTCTCCTCATGGCCTCGAGGGGCTTCTCTGCTTCGCATACTGCGCCTAATCCTGGTGGCCAAGAGCTCGCTTGGCTTATTCGCCAGTATGCTCCGCGGGAGCAGGATGTTCACGCTTCGCGTGGCACAACATGGCTCTTACACGCCGGTGTTTTTTGTGGGTTGTGGCGTTGTCTGTCGTCTGGTCTGCCGTCGGTGCTTTGGCTCCACCCCGCGAAGGGCTGTTCTCTCGCGCGCCTGGGCAGGCGCAGTGTTTGCCATCCACGGGTGGGCGAGACATGTGCAACAGACGATGATGCTCTGCGCAGTGAGGTCATCCGGGACCCGCTCAAATGCAGCATCACGACTGGTGGCGCGCCCTCCGCCGCAGAGGGTAATGCTTCGAGCTGGAAAGCCGTGAAAGTCACGCCAACCATGCTTGTGCCCGGCCTCCGCGCGCGCGACAGGTGCTGCAATGAGACTGAGCCTTCCCGAGGGGCTGATGGGGGGCACTGCTTCGAGCGCGGGTGAGGGCCTCGCAAAGGCCAGGCACGATTTCCTGAGGTGCCAGGGCGAGGCGAAAACGCCGGGCAAGAAGAGCCTTTCTCACGACCGCGCCAAGCGTGCCCAAGATATCGGCTTCGCGCCCATTCCAGAGCTTGCTCTTCCCAGCGAAGATTGATTAATCAAACGGGAAGCTGCAGAGAGGAAGGAGGAGGAAAGGAGGAAGAGGATGAGGAGCAGGAGGTGGAGAAGGAGGAGCAAGAGCAAGAGGGGAAAAAGGGGGAGGAAGAGGAGGAGGAGGAGGAGGAGGAGGAGGAGGAG